GCATTTGACTCTTGATTTGGGGGTTGTGAGTTCAAGACCCACACTGGGTACAAAAATTACTTTGAAAATATAAATAAAATCTAGGGACACCTGGATGGTTCAGTGAGTTAAGCATCTGACTTTGGCTCAGGTCATGATTTCACATGGTTTGTGAATTTGAGCCCAGCATTGAGCATTGTGCTAACAGCTCAGAGCCTGGAGCCTGCTTCAGATTCTCTGTCTCTGTCTCTCTCTCAAAAATAAACATTGGGGGGCGCCTGGGTGGTGCAGTCGGTTAAGCGTCCGACTTCAGCCAGGTCACGATCTCGCGGTCCGTGAGTTCGAGCCCCGCGTCAGGCTCTGGGCTGATGGCTCAGAGCCTGGAGCCTGTTTCCGATTCTGTGTCTCCCTCTCTCTCTGCCCCTCCCCCGTTCATGCTCTGTCTCTCGATAAACGTTGAAAAAAAAAATTAAAAAAAAAAAAAAGAAAATAAATAAATAAATAAATAAACATTGGGACACCTGGGTGGGTCAGTGGGTTGAGTGTCCGACTTCGGCTCAGGTCACGATCTCACGGTTCATGAGTTTGAGCCCTGCATCAAGGCTCAACGGTGTCAGCGGTGTCAGCGTGAAGCCTGCTTTGGATCCTCTGTCTCCTCATCTCTCTTTGCTCATGTGCTATCTCTCTATCTCTCTCTCTCTCTCTCTCTCTCTCTCTCAAAATAAATAAATAAATAAGATCTTTATTTTAAAAAAAAGTTCATCATGTTTAACATGTTAAATGTTGGGCCTTCCTTCTAAATTTTCTTTCTGGACATTACCTTGAAAAATGAGTTGGGAAGATATTACTATATTCAAGTTGAAGGTTTTACAAACATGGCTAACTAATTCACATGTCAAAGGAATAAGCTAACAATTAAAAACCACAATGAATCAGGAAAAATTTCAAAGTTCCTGTTTGGACAAACCTGCAAGATATTTCCAAAATGTAGTTTTCTGATAAACTATCAAAGTCTAAAATGCTGTCAAATATGGGAAAGTGGAGCAGTAAGAGAGAACTAGTGTGACCTAATATCGCAAATCCATATTCTATTTGGAGACCTTATTTCTATATTGCTAAGGACATGAAGTCAAGAGCTAGTAACAGGAAAGGTTAGGGGGATGGAGGAGGTGGGAGGGGAGGGAGGGAGGGAGAGGGGAGAGAGAAAGAAATGAAAAGGAGCTGCACAGAACAAAAACATTTAAGTAAGGGGTAGGTTTGAAATTTTGTTTTTATTTTAATTCCAGTTAACATATGGTGTTGTATTAGTTTCAGGTGTACAGTATAGTGATACAACAATTGTAAATTTTTTTTTCTTGGTCACAACTTGGTGATATGCTGCCACTTTTGAAAGAAAGGAAGTAAAAATTAATTTGGCGTATCGATGTTTACACAAATTTGTTACTTTATCAATTCATAAATCGATACACATTTTACAATAATCTAGCAGACTCCTCCGGACACTGATGGGAGAACAGACTGCCACATGAAAAAATCAAGGATCAATGAAATTAGACTGTGAACTCCATGAAGACAGAATCCTTATTTTATTCTCTATTATCTCCAGCAAGCAACATAAAACCTCATATATGACAGGTAAATGTTAAGCGTTAGGGGTTAGGAGTTATTTTAAAGGGGTCTGTTATATTGAATCGTAAGGCAGGATCAAAAAACACAGCTATTTTCAATATTTAATAGCAGGCAAATGCATACCCCATAAGATCTAAACATAACTGTCAAAAATTCATAATTTATCTTTTCAATTTCTCATATAAATAAACAACCCAGTGGGGCGCTTGGGTTACTCAGTTGGGTGAACATCTGACTTTGGCTCAGGACATGATCTCACAGTTCATGAGTTCAAGCCCCACATCCGGCTGTTAGCGCAGAGCCTGCTTCAGATCCTCTGTCCCCTTCTTATTCTGCCCCCACCCCGTGCACCATCTCCCTCTCAAAAATAAACAAACATTGGGGGGGGGGGGAACACAAAAAAACCCAAGCCTAATGCTACTTTCCATCACCATTATACATCTCATCCTGAAATAATTACCTTTGCTAACAATAAAAGTCAGAAGGAAAAAAAACCTGTAATTTCAGTAAAAGCAGTTAAAAAACATAAATAAATAAGCAGATGGGTTCCATGCAGACCAGGCTCTAAGGGAGTAGAGCTGGCGAGCTCTATAGCTTTTGTCCTCCAAGCCAATTTTGAAAGGAAAGACACACTGGAAAAGAAAACATTGAAAAAACAGCATGGCATGATTTATCATGAAGTCAGAAAGTCAGTCCTTTTCTGCAAATCTAATATGTACATAGGCACATATTGCACACAAATCTAAAACACATTATGTACAGATATTTTGGGGGGTAGTATGTTATTATTTAACAGCCCCTAATACGACGAAAAGGAAGATTCCCAAATAATGAAAGAGTTTCCCCAATATCTGTACCTAATCTCTCCTACTCGACCTCTCTTGAAACAACTGTGTATGCCAGTACAGTTAACATTAACATATTTTTATTCTTCCTATCACAATCTATGCCCAGACATTAAAATAACATTAGATTATAATTTCAAAGCTCTTTCCCCATATGCCTATGACTTAATCCCACTTGCAGAGATTACTCTGTAACCTAACCTGCCATAAACTCTCTACAAATCCACATCACTAAGTAACCCCCAAAACGGTGTAAGCAGCATACAAACTCCCCCTTCCTTACTTATGTTTGGTTTTCTGTCACTCTTGTGTTGTTCCTACGTTTCCTCCACCCACTTTCATGCAGTGTAAGTCTCTATGCCCGCTCCCCAGAGGAAGATGATAAAAGCTACTTCTCAAACTGTGGATCAACTGGTCCTGTTCTTTCCCCTTCCCCCAAATCCTTCCAGTGTTATGTTCTTTCAGGTCATAGACAGGGGAGAAGTTTTGAGAAATCAATCTAGTGATTTACCCCAGTAATCCCAGGTGGATACAAACTGAGGGAAACAAGAATTGGGAGGTATTTTTTTTTAGCCATGGTTCATCCTGTACCCCAACACACTAATGCCTGAAGTCTGGCTGGCATTCATTGGTCCTATGTAAAAACATGTTCTCTTTGGTGTATGCCTTCATAATACAGCTAAGAAGGGGTAGAGGATTTATAAAACATTGCTTGTGATTTCCTTGTGGAGAGGGAAAAGGAACTGAATGAGAAGGAAAAGAAAAAAAAGGGAAATTTCTGGTTGCCCCTCAACGAATCTAAGAAACTGAAAAAAAATTAAAAGCTATCCACCAGCAACTAAGTGGAATTTTAGCTGGTAGCCCAAAGTCTAAAGGTTAGTCATACAACTCCTCCCCCCCTGCAGGGGGAAAGGAGGGAACAGAAAAATGGACCTTCAATGAGTGGAGGATTCTAGTGACTGTATTTGATGTTCTTGGCTCCCCTTGTCAGAATCAGAGTGCCCCCCCCTCCCCAACAAGCAGACTCTGGCACCTGGTGGGGGTAAGAGAAAACAAGAGGAAAAAAAAAAAGGAGACAGAGAAAGATGAAAACATCAACAGCCATCTTGCCAAACTAACAACCAAATCTTTGACATGAAAGAAGGAAAGTCATTGCACTAACCAAGATAGAAAGGAATAAACAAAAGATCACCTCCAAAGAAAAATCGGCCTCCTCCCCTTTGACATACTGACCAAATAACACACAGCAACCATTAGAAGAGAAATTTAACTATGACTGTCATTTTTGAAAATTAGACGTTGTCATTCTAAAAGTTAGAAAATAAATGTTCAATCTCCATGACTGGAATTTCAGAGTGTTTCATTCCAAATGAATATCTTATAGTATTCTGACAGCGAATCCTTTGTAAGAAACAGAAAAAAAAATGACCTTTCAACTGCCCAATGGTGTTAAAGACCTAACGAAATTTACATAGCATTTAAATTTTAAAAGGTTACATTTAATAATTAAGAACTTCGGTACATACAATACACACCAAGCCCACAAAAAAGGAGTGTCTTCCATATTAGGCGGCCTCATGTACTTTCCGTTCAGGTTTAGAATTTAATCCAACTCCCCAAAGATGTGAGAACAATTTATGTAATTAATGGGAAAACAACAGCACGCTAAAAGAATGCACATCGGAAGTTACAGTCAACACGGGTGGCATAACAACCTCACTCATAGAATGCAATTACCGCCCCCTCTCTATTCACACCTACAAGTGGGGTAAAATACTGGGATTACAAATCTGCCATCTGAGATAAGGACACATTAGTAAGGCAAATGTGAAGTTACTATCTAACTAGTTTGGGTTTTTTTTTTTTTAAAGGGAGGGGGGCAAGATTTGCATCATGGTCAACTGCCTTAAAAAAAAGAAAAATCGAACGAGCCAAGCAGTTATTTGTCACCCCATTCTCACTCAGAGCACTGCCAAAGGCAAAGGAGGTAGGACTGTCACACTCTCTAAAATTTCACACGTAAGGAGGAAACCATGGGATTTAAACCATCCTAAGTGCAGGACGAACACCACATCCTCCGCCCTCGGCCACACCACAGGAATGTGTCTGATGGAAGCAGGGGCAGGAGCGATCACCACACGCTGGAGGACAGGTTGGCACAACGCGTGTTCTACTCCAACGAGCACTCCCAGGGTTACCACACCCCCCTCACAAACAGGGGGAAGCACACTTCACGCCCGAGGACGCCGCCTGTCCCCCGCAGTTCTCACCCGTCACACGCACCCGGCGACCTCGGCCCCCTCCCAGCACGCCGACCGAGCCGGGGTTCCCCACCGCCCCCCCGCGGCGGAGCGACCCCCCCCCCCCGGGCTTCACAAGCCCCCCGGCCCCCGGCGCGCCCCGCCCGGCCGAGCCCCTGCTCGTCGCCGAGTCCCTAAGGCCGCAGTCGCCCATTTGGGGGAGGGGTTCGGGGGGGGGGGGGCGGCGGCGGGCGCGCCTCCGCCTCACGCCACTACACCGGGGGAGGGAAGCGATCGCACCGCTCACCTGGCTCCGGCGGCTCCTCCCTCGCTCTCGGCCAGCGGAGCCGGGCTGGGGCCTCCGAGGGAACCGCGGGCTGCCGGGCAGGCTGGCTGGAAGTCCGAGAAGGAGAGGAGGGGGAGGGGGTCGGGATGCCGGGAGCCGCCTCCTTTCTCCTCCGCCACCGCGGCTCCAGCAGCCAGGCCGGGCACCCTCGCACACTCGCCCACTTTCTCACAGCCTCGCGGTCGGTCTGGCTGTCCCTCACCCCCACTCCCACTCCCACGCACTCCCACACGCACTCCCACACGCACTCCCACACACACACACACACACGCGCGCCCCCACCCCCAAACACACTCTCACACCCGGCCGCTCCTCGCTCCCTCACTCGCCTGTAGTGCGCGCGCGCGCGCGCGCAACCCCGCTCACACACAGCGCGCGCGACGCCGGCGGAGACCGCCCCGCGCTCCCCCAGACCGAGGCGCCGCGCGCCGCCCGCCCGCGTGCAG